TGGTCAGTGTGCTTTAGCCAGGGGAGGGCCACTCAGCCAGAAGCCGGGCTCATGGCTGGCGAGCTCAGCGGTGGAGGTGGGAGCCTCTCCTGCCTCCATCACTAAGGAGCCCTGGGGGATGTCTGCCTGCTGGCTTAGGCTCCCTTGCAGGCAGACATCCCCCGAGGGGTCCCAGGCTGTGAGAGGGCTCAGGGAACCCCCTCCCCTCCAGTGCATAAATGTGCAAGGGGCCTCTAGTAGTATATAAGTAAGTTTATAAGATATCTACAGGAATAACAGTAACATTTTTTGATGAACTTAATTCAAGGTGGATATAAACAGAGAGATTATGTGTTACTGAGTCGGAAGATGCCGTGTCACAAACATGTTCATTATTCTGAACGTGATCTATAATACAAACTAATACCATGCCAATGGGTATTCCTGTAATGTTTTTCATTGTTCGTTTGATTTTGGTTTGGGAGGTGAAGATGAGAACCAATAATTTTTAAAGTTCACATGGGAGAGAGACTGTGAGAATTGTTAATACATTTGTACAAAGGGAAGGCTAATGCATATGTCCTTTCCCTGGAAGTCTGAACACTTACTATACAGACTGTTACTGAGATAACGTGCTGGCAAAGGAAAGGGACCAAAGGATTTTAAAACAGAGGTTAATGGACTGGACCCACGTGTAGGGAGGAGTCTAATCCATCCTCTATGCGACATTCCCGGGTGGCGGGGAAGGACAGGCATTTCACAAATGGTGCATAACAGCTCTGGAGACAGAGTCCCACTCCCTGCATCTCCCAGCTTCACGCTCACACTCCAGGTGGAACGGAGAGCGAAACATAAACACAACGGGACCCCGGAGACATTTAAAAATTGTACTTTAAGATCCACACGTCTTAAGAAAATGTTACGGACTAAATAAAAGCTTAAAATACCTGGCAAAAGACAAAAGCTCCAAAAAGCATTCCTTAAAAAAAAAAGAAGAAGAAGAAGAAGAAGAAGAAGAAGAAGAAGAAGAAGAAGAAGAAGAAAAAGAAAAGGCAATTAAACCAAAGCATCAAAAAAGAGGTGATAGGGATGAGATGTTTGCAGCAATCGTTCAGCAGACCAAGGGTTAATAGTTTGCTGATCTGAAGAAATCTTCTGGGGACTGGAAAAACCAAGTTTTGTTCTCTTATTCAATAACCTCACGAGACCTCTCTCATGAAATCACTTTCAAAATGGATTTCTAACCTGTGTCTCCTGGGGACCCCGGACCTCACATGTGTCTCTCCAGATATCAGCGACAGATGGACCCACGCAGGGTGCCAGGTGGGACCCAGGGAGGTGGCCACTGCTCGCTGTCTGAGCCTGCCACCGATTCTCGTCTATCTGGACCCGTGGTCACATGTCAAGTGCTCTCTTCCGCCCCAGGATTCTGCATAAGCGACAGGTTAACTTCATATAACCCCAAACTGGGGGATCGCATGGTGTTAGCATCTTATTTTTGTAATACGGAGTTATCATTTCAAATTTCTCCTTTACCCATCACGTCATCTCCTTTTCCCAGAGAAAGCTTCATTCCCTGCTGGGGACAGGTTGAACAGCCCCCGAGGAGATGGGGACACACTAAGGGCCACCCTCGGCCACACGGTGATGCTCTCAGGGGTTGCGCCGTAAGGAAGCCCTGGCCCAGTGCCTGTGATGCACGCTCATCCACATGTGTGAACAGCCCTGTCCCAGCAGGGTCAGCGTGGCCCGCCTCTCAGCCAGTGAGCGGAACGAGGGGAGAGCGACAGGTCTTCAGAGGAGCCCAATAGCATGTGCTGGGGGCAGATTTCCTATTTTCTGGTGGGAAGGCAGCTGGCGGACCAGGGTGGGCTGGTCTTCTGGCCTGATTTCGGGGGGCTGTTGGGCCGTGTCTGGCTCCCAATAGGAGATGTAGCCAACCTGCTCCCTGGGGGGGGGGGACGCCCAACAAGGGAAGGTCTGAGCAGGTTCTGAACGGTCATGGCAGGAGCTCTGGTCTGTGACATGTGGCTGGTCTTTACACCTGGGCTGGGCTGGTGGCCTCCCGGGAGCTCAGTGTGTTGCACGGGGCAGTGAATTCAGCCTGGAGAAGACGGGCAGGAAACTCGAAGCTCATTCTTTGTGGCCAGAGCTTCCGAATCTTCATCCAGTGGCTGTGCTGGTGTGTGCCCAGGGAGGGGACCTGGAGGAAGCCCACACTGAGTCTCCCCTTCTTCCTGGGCATCTCGGAGCCTGCGGGCTGGCTGTGTGTCTGCAGACGTGCTGCTGTACGGAGGCTGCACCCACCACTTGATTTGCAGGCTCTCCTCCATGCAGGTCCCCCCACCAGGCAGCTCGCAGACGGGGGATCAGCAGTCAGAGCATCTCAGTGACTTGTCCAGGGCCATACGGGGCCCAGCCTAGAGAAGGCAATTCTGAGCCCTTGTTTGCGTTCAGGCACGTATGTTAGCATTTTAAAACAGGAACGAGATCCCACTAATTACCCCGTTTGTCATCAAGAGCATTACTGGCATTACTGGGTCGGATGTAACGGAGGAAACCTTTCCTGGGAGGGTTCAAAGCACCGCAATTCTGATCTGGTAGTTAAAAGATGACACAGGATCTCATTTTTATCAACCAATTAAAGGTTAGTGAGAGACGTGGGACCAGAGGTCAAGGGTCACCTGGCGAGGTTGACAGGCGTCACAGTGACGGGACCTAGGTTTGTGGTCTGCACAAGTGACATCTCCCATCGTGTGGGAGGTCCCCTGCCCTCCTGACCTGCTCCTGCCTCCCCAGGGCCACTGTGACCCCCAAAGTTCTCCTCAATTGGGAAAGAAAAGAGGAAAGCTCGATTATCCAATTTACACAGCTGCATTTTCCTCAAAGATCAGCCTTTCACATCTGGAGGGCTGTGTCCTTCCTTCGGTCAGATAACGGTTATAATGATTGTTACTGGGCATGTGACATTTCACAGATCCTAAAATCCAGAGGGTCAGAAAGCCTTTGTCCCCACACTATGTGCAGCTAGGGGTGTGGGTCCTGGGGTGAAGGGGAGGCAGGACCAACTCAAGGGTTCGCCTGGGGCTGGGATTGGGGTTCTGTGTAATAAGAGCCACTTCCAGGTTTTCTTCACATGACCCCAGATAACTGAGACCATGTGACCATATGACCAGGATGAAAACCGTCTCTTAGGATCTGTTGAATATATATATATTGATAGATATATTAATGATGATAGATGTGTGTGGGGTCCTCAAGGCTGCCAGCAGTGGAGCTCTCCCTGTGAGATGATAGATGTGTATGTTGATCCTCAGTATCAACAGATACTAACACACACACACACACACACACACACACACATCTATCATCTATCTATACACTGAGTGGCCAGATTATGATGATCTCTGGACACATAATAATCTGGCCACTCAGTGTTTATCCTGTATAATAAAAGGCTAATATGCAAATTGTCCTCTAGACCAGGAGTTTGACCAGCAGGCGGGCTAGCCAACCACCTATGTCCCCTCTGCCTGGCCAGGCTGGCCGGACCCACCTATACATTAATTCATGTATGGGGCCTCTAATATATATACACACACACTGGGTGGCCAGATTATTATGCATTCAGAGATCACAGTAATCTGACCACTCAGTGTACATTGACAGAGAGAGAGAGAGAGAGGGAGAGAGAGAGAGAGAGAGAGAGAGAGAGGCTCTCCAGGCTCAGAGGCTGCTTTACGGAAAGAGCCTGTGACACTCACTCTCTCTCCCTCCCTGCCTGTCTCTCCGCCGTCTCAGCCTCTGTCTCCACCCTCCAGCAAGCCCCAACCCCAGGGTGTGTGCTTTTCACAAACACCTGTGTCCCGAGCAGCCTCTGCCCAGACCTGGAGCTGAGGTTCCCCGGGGGGAGCTTGGGGCTCACACTGCAACCTGCATCTCAGGGGCCGCTGAGAGGGGTCCCACTGGCCCGGGGGCCGCTGCCAGTGCGGGACAGGGATGCCAGGGTCTCCAAGAGGGCACAAGCCCCCTGCCAACCGCCGGGAACTCCCTCCCAGCCTGTCCCCGAGTGGCTGGGAGGGGCAGGCGGGCGGGCAGGCTGCTTTCCAAAGACCAGCCTCCCTTCAGGGCTGTCCGCCTGGAGCGGCCCTTCACGTCAGCTGCGGTTTGCGAGGTCAGCCTGGAGTGACCCCGAGCCTTGAAGCGGTGAACCGCCCGCTGCACACGCACGTGCTCACTCCCCTCCCCCGGGCGACTCTCTCCTCATTAGCTGTTCCCTTGAAGGACTGACTTCCCTCCGGAGGGAAATTCCTGAAACCCAACAGTTGACAAACCCACACACCCTCCGGAGGGCCGGGCACCAGATAAAAGGGGGACGTCCACTGCTGAGAGCAGGGACCTGCCGCTGCCACCGGGGGGACCCAGCGGAGCGCGGGGACCTGGGGCCGGGCCCGGGAGGGGTGGGGGCCCGTCGCCCGGACCTGGCACCGCGGGGCACCTGCAGCGGAGCCCAGCCAGCCGGCGCCCTCCCCTCGGGGATCCGCCGGGCGCCCCCCAGCCGGTGGCCGAGCTGCTGCCAGCAGCAGAGCGCTCCCTGCGGGGAAAGCTGGTTCTCTGGGTTTTTCTGGTTTGCTCTCCGCGCTCCCCTGGACGATCTATTTCTGTCTTTTCCTTTGGGAAAAACGCGCTTTGCCAATGACTAATCGGGGCCCGTGCGGAGATGTTATCGGCTGTCACCTGCGCCGCAGCCCCCGAGCCCGCGCCCGCGCCGAAGCCAGGAGCTAGACGGCGGGCGGCTGCAGCCCCGACCTGCCCGCACCACCTGCCTCCCCGGCGGAGCTGCTAGACGCGGGCCGCCGCCCGGGCCACCCCTGTCCCTGCCCCGGGCCTGGCGTGCGGCCATCCCAGTGACTGCCAGGGGCCCCGTGCAAGGGGCCGACCCGACCCAGGTGTCTGAGGAGCAGCCGCCTCCCCTCGGGCCACGGGCGAGCCCTGGATGGAGCTCGGGACCCAGACCCCTCATGTCGATCCTGCTGACGCTGTGCGCCGCGCTCCTGCCCCTGGTGACTCCGGGCCGAGGTGGCCGGCGGTGGGAGCCCTGCACAGGTAAGGGGGCTGCGGCCTGGAGCCGGGCGGGTGTGGCTAGGCACTAAGTGCCACTAGCTGATGCGATCCAAGGTCCCCGGTGCCCTCGGACTGGCAGAGGAGGGATGGGCAGACGTGGGACGGGCAGAGGTGGGGAAGATGAAAGGGAGCAGGGAGGCAATCCCAATAGAAACTCCGTCTTTAACTGCTCCCAGGGTGGGGACTCGGTTCAAAGCTCTCGGCAGCCGCCATCGGAGGCCCTTCGCATGTGCTTACCTGCTTGCCCTCCTGGGGGAAGGCCTTCCACCTGCTTCAGGAATGAGGCCCTCGGAGGAGGTGGAGAACCCGGGGCCGCCCCCCAGCCTGGTAGTTCTGTCCCGTGGGGAGTGAGGGAGAGGGGAACAGCCCCAAACACACCTTTTGGGGGGACCTCCATCAGAGCGGGGCTCCCCTGGCCAGCACACCAGGGCGGCCGGGGGCGGGTGGGGGGGAGATGGGGAATGGGGGTGAGGGTGGGCCAATGATGCTCCCTTCTTTACAGAAAGGCCCAGTGGCCAAAACCGGTTTGACTCAGTGGATAGAGCGTCGGCCTGCGGACCGAAAGGTCCCGGGTTCGATTCCGGTCAAGGGCATGTACCTTGGTTGCAGGCACATCCCTGGTGGGGTGTGCAGGAAGCAGCTGGTTGATGTTTCTCTCTCATCAATGTTTCTAATTCTCTATCCCTCTCTCTTCATCTCTGTAAAAAAAAAAAAAATCAATAAAATATATTTTAAAGAAAGAAAGAAAGAAAGGCCCAGTGGACTTGCTAATGACCATGACACCACCGTACCTTCCTGGATTATTTACCAAGAGATTAAAAAGTAATAATTTTTTTAAAAAGCAAAGTAACAGGGAAACGAGGCCTGGTAGCCATAAAAGCTGGATGTTGATGCAGGCACATGTGGCCTTGTGTCGCAGGGAGTCGCCGAAAAGGGGTGGTGTGGTTCTGGTTTTATTTGAAAATTATTCAATCCTGGTTCCCTGGGGTCAGTGAAGCCCCTGCGTGCCAGGGCTCTTTGCTCCGATGGCACTTGATTCCCAGTGAGGAGACCAGGGGATGCCGGCTGCTGATCTGAGTTGGAGCACTGACTGGCATGGATGTGGGGGGTGTCTGTCCCCAGCCCCACCCTAAACAGCCAGCGCCCCGAGCAGGAGGTGAGCAGCCCGTGGGGTCCTCAGGCAGCCTCTGTGTGGGGTGCAGGGGCACCTGAGTAGGGGGCTGCACCTGCCCCCTTTCCTGTCTTGGGCACCAGATTTGAAAATCATACGGGAGCCAGGTCAACCTGTGAGAAATCCCCTGTGACGGCAGACCCAACTCCCCCCTGGCACAGGGGGCGGAACGTGGGGTCCCAGCAGCCCCCCGAGGACCCCATGCCGCTCAGGGGCCGTGCGTCCTGCGTTCGCGGCGCTGTCCCGGTGGGATGAGTCACTGACATGTACCTTCACGCTCCCTTCGGCGCTGGGAGCAGAATCAACCTGCATCATAATAATACAAGTTATTTATAAAGCCCGCCCCCTCGCCCCCAAGGCACATTGCAAATAGTTAAAAGATGACCCAGTTCTGAATACCACAACCGAGAGAGGAGAGATAAAAGTCACGAAATAGTATTGAACTACATCTGGAACCGTCCCAAGACCCTTGTGGAAAGGCGAGCCAGGAGGGCGGGGAGTTGAAAACACCGCTTTGACTGCCTTCAGCTTTGCAAAGCACAGGAGTTACCTGCAGGGTGGTGTGTGTGTGTGTGTGTGTGTGTGAGAGTGTTCGCGTGGGTAGGGGCTGGACTCCACTTCCCTCTGGGCTTTGTTCACGGACCTGCCATTGTGTGGGGCCTCGGCTGAGGTGCTGGGATGTGAAGTCCTGGCCCTGACTCTGCCCAGGTTGGGGGTCACAGGACAGCGGTGAAGGCTTCAGCTTGTGTGCTCCCCTCGCAGGAGGGTGCCGTGCTGGGAGAAGGCCGTTCTGCTTGCCACCATTGTGCCATCTCTCTGTCCTGGTCCCCCTCGCTCCCTAGCATCCGGTGGCTTAAAGTCCCTGCAGGGCTGTGGGGACCTCCAGACTAGGATTTCCAGGTGTCCCCGGGCATCGGGGCAGCAGAGGGGAGAGGACCGCACCTCAGGAAGTCCGGGCAGATGCGGAGGCTGGAGCGGCCGGGAGAGGGGAGGACAGGGGACTATGGCGCAGTGGGACTTGGTGTCTGTGTGGCTTCGGGAGGTACAGGGAGGGCAGTGCAGGAGGCCAGGGGTGGGGAAGGGGGCCTTGTCTGGACAGGAAGCAGGCCACCTCAGCTGGCTTTCGGAGGGTTGGGACTGCAGGAGCTGTGTCCCAGTTAAAAGGGGTGTGGGGTCTGGGCAGGGGAGCAGGCAGGGGTCCCTGGGAAACTGGCCGGGACCATTCAGGTGTGGACTGACCAGCAGAATGTCACCAAGGCCATTTTGGGGCAAGCACCTCCAATGGACACCTCCTAGGGCAGTGGCCAGCAAACTGCGGCTCTCGAGCCACATGGGCCCTTTGGCCCCTTGAGTGTGGCTCTTCCACAAAATACCACGTGCGGGCGCACACAGACAGTGCGATTGAAATTTCGTGGCCCGTGCGCAGAAGTCGGTTTTCGGCCTGGGCAAGTCTATTTTGAAGAAGTGGTTCTAATGCCGAGCCACACGCAAGGGGCCAAAGAGCCACGGTTTGCTGACCACGGTCCTAAGGGAAGGCAGTGTGGCTGGGACCCTCTGCAGAGGGGTGGGGCCAGGGGACTGGCTGGCCCTTCTGCACCGTTTGTCTGGTGGTCAAGCCTCAGTCCCAGCAGCGCCTGAGACGGCCCAGCGGTTGGGCAGCACGAACAAGCCTCCAGGGCCAGGAGCCAGGTGGGAGGTGCAGCCGCTGGACGGGCCTCGGGATGAGAGGGTGGAAGCGGCTCTGGAGCCAGCAGCTGGGGCTCAGGGCGTGCCCCTGTGTGCCGGGTGGGCTCCCTGGGTTGAGGGTGGCCGGCAGGATTCTGGGCCAGGATGCCTCTCGTGCTATTGGCCTCCCTGACCCTCGGAGCCAGGCCGTGCCTCTGAGGCTGGCACCCCCTCAGCACGGCCAGTTGCCTTGGAATAAAGAAGCAGAAATAAGGATTGCTGGGCTCAGATAAAAAGCCTGTGGTTCCAGCCGCATGACACACTTGTCTCCTTCGGGAGACATTTGGGAGGGCATGTCCCAGAGGAGGGCTCTCCAACAGGGAGGGGGCAGCGGCCATGGGTGGGGGCCGGGTGGTGATGATGGAGAGTCCCTATGGTCCATCCCAATTCAGCTTGTCCCAACCGGGCAGGAGGCCACGGTGGAGAGTCCTGTGGGAGCCATAATTCTGGGGGACAGCTCGACCCAATGCATCAGGGTCACTGACAGGCTTCGGGGAGCTGGACAGAGAAAGGGGTAAAGGAGGTGTCTGATGGGGATGGGAAGTCAGGAGAACCGTGTCCCACCTTCTGGGTTGTGTCTGTGAGTGTCATCTGTCACCTGGAATCAGTCAGAGGTGGGTCTTCACCCAGGACTCAGGGCCTAATCCACACGGCACCCATCCACCCTCCTCCCTTCCCTCCTTCGTTTGTCCAAACCTAGGCAAGGATGGCGGCTGTGCCTACCGCTGGGTCACAGCAGAAGGTAGAGCGTCCCAAGGGCTGGGGACTTACACCTCCATCGAACCGCAGCTGCACAGAGCAAGCAGCTGTGGACCCCCTGGGCCGGAGGCAGGAGAACCCAGAGGAGCCACATGGCCAAGGCTCTGGGCAGGGACCCCACCGTGGGCGGTGGGCTGAGTGCAGGAGTGGGTAGAGGGGTGCCCTGCAGCCTTGGAGACAGAGAAGTGCCCAGGGAATGCTGGGAACAGATTTGCATTTTAAAGCAGCTGGCTGGGCGGCAGTGGGCATTGGTGCCCCTTTGCTGCTGGGGCAGTGAGCAGGGGTGGGGGGCGCCGGGTCCTTTCAGGGCCTTTGCCCTTGGAGTTCCTCACCAGGAGCTCTGGGGTAGACGGTGCTTCAGTGGGGATTCCAGTGAGCTCTGGCCCTTCGCTGAGAGGCCCTGAAACCTGTTCCTGGGAGTCACCCCTGCTGTTGGCTCACATCCACACCAGCCAAGCCTCTTAGCCTTTGCAGTGACCGAGTCTGTAGCTTCTCTCTCTCCTGGTCCTCGCCGCCCACCGGCCCCTAGGAATCTAAGCAGCAGCTGGAGGCCCCGGAGGCCGGAGGCCATGGAGGGGGAGGAGGTTGACAGTTCTGCTGGGCACCGGAGTGGTTGGCCAGTCCCATCACCTGTAGCGCTAACTTTTAGCAAAAGTTCATACGTGACATTAAATGGATGACCACTCCCACCCCATCGGGTCAGGCTCAGCGACCTGCACTCCCCCTGTCCCTCCAAACACCAGCCTGAGGGACACCATCCCCCTCTTCCCCAGCACAGAGGAGGCAGAGCGACACCAGCGCACTGTCACCCTGACACCTGTTTTCCTTTAAAACACTATCAGCAGTTAGGACAGGGACATTTTTAAATTATTTGTCTGCACAGAAATTGGGAAACAAAGAATATTCATCTTTTTTTTCTCTAATGGAACCTCATAAAGATCAGAACCGCTGATTCTGTGGTTTCTATCTTTGAAAGTAAATCGTGGATTTCCCGGCAGTCTTTATCCACAGTCAAGGCGCATGCTTGGGGTCTGGACCGGTTTCCTGATGGGCCACCCCATTTCCCCTCCTCTGCACCCCCTTCCCCCGCCCCCCCCCCCCCCCGCCCCATCCTCCCAGGTGGATTCTGAGCCCCAGGCTTAGAGAACTCTGTGTCGGGGCAGGAGGCGCCCACTGCCCTTCTTCTCCAAGTCTGGGGGGTTGGGGGGCGGAGGTAGGAAGATGGGACAGGATGCTTGGCTGTCACCCTCCGCACCCCAACCCCACATCTGATTGCAGGAGCACCCCGAATGCGGGCTCTGGCCTAATTGAGCCCCTCCCTTCCCTC